GAGGGCACCGCGTCGCAGCTGCCGCTGGCCGCGCCGCCCCGTGCCGAGGGCGCCGGCAGCAGGAGGCACAGCTCCGAGGACTCGGACCTCACGGGCCTCATAGAGACTATGGACAAAGACTTTGACCACCCAGAATCCCCGTCCCCAGACGTGTTTACAGAGCAGCCCCCGTCTCCACTAGCAAAAAGCAAAGGTAATGCAGTCCGGCTCCCCCTCGGCAGGGGACGGTTCCTTACGCAAGCCGCAGAACACGCTTTGGTCGCCCGCAAAGGTCGCGGTTTCGCAGTGCGGCGCCTGGTAGCTTCCCAGCCCTCGTGTCCGTGTGTCCTGAACGCTTCCTGTATCTATTCTATGCCCCTAAGAATCTCCATGCAATGCTAGGTTGTGATTCTTCCTGCAAATTTTTTGGAACGTTTTGGGGAAGACAAAAATGAATGTTTAGATACCTGGCCTGGCAGGGCCAAATATTTAAAAGGTGAGAGATACTTTTGACTGCAACTCCTTGGCCTTTGGATTTGCATCCTTCCCTCCAGCCCCCATCGCTTGGATTGGGACTGGGGAACTGAGGGAAAGTAAAGGAAGATGTCTGAGTGTTTTGTGAAAGCTGAGACAGAGAGAACTGTAAGTCATGGTAGAATTGTAGAGGACTGGAATTCTTCATGTCTGGACTTGCAGTTGTGGTAGAAAATCCTTGATGTCATGTGGCCAGCACCTGTGTTCATAAATTGCATTAATCTTTGGATGAGTTTAGAGTTGAGCTTGAATTACTTATGCATCCTTTCAATTGTCTAACGCTTAAAACAATTTATTGATTTTCCTGCTTTAGAAGTCAGCTATTTTCCTTCTAAAAATACTTTGAGTAGAACTTAACGCTTTTTTGTATTAGCTGTTTCAGTCGTGTTCCAGAATTATGTGGCCAAAAGTGGTTCAAATTTCATCTTAATATGTAGAAGTTTTTCACTCTTTCTTAACAAAAGTGCTGCACAGAAACAGTGCAGTTACTGTATTGCTTGTGAGAGGTAAAGGTTTAGGAGAAGAACATGGGGAAGGCCTGTAAACCCCAAAGCATCTGTGTAATCACACGCCACGCACCACGAGAAAGGCAAGTGTTGGTAGGTGTGAGCGGTTACGGAGCGTCAGTCTGTTGGTGATCTCGGCCTGTTTGCACTCAGTGATCATGGGCACAAAGCTGTTAAATGCCTGGGAATGGATGTGGTCCTGCACCTGGGCTTTCAGATGAGATACTCGAAAGAGATGAGAGCTTTGGGGACCCAGCTGAAACCTGCTGCTTTTATTTCTGCTTTTGCTTTGTTTTTGGTGCAGACAGAGGGATGTGGTTAGAGGAATTAAACCTTAACCCTAAGGGAGTTGGGAGCTGCTTCCCAGGAGCTGGTTTCCCGCGGGCTGGCTGCCGTGCCGGCCCGATGGGGCAGCAGGCGGGTGGCAGCGGCAGCGGGGACGGCCCTGGGGCAGGGGGTGCCGCACGCGGCCGCCGGGACCATCTGGGCACCTGGGACCACAGGAGAATCCAATCGTGGGGGCCGTGTGCCCCACAGACTTGGGAATGCTCCTGGAGCGCGTCTTCTCTTTGTGGTTTATCCTGAGAGGAAACTCGTCCTCGTGCTCCAAGGCTGCTCCGTGGTGCGGCTGCCACGTGGTAAGTGGGGACAGTTGAGAGTTTGCTTCCAAAGCACACTCCTGATCCGAGGAGGTGTTTGTAGCTGTAACCATTCCTAGCAGCTGGTGTACTGGGAACTTGTCACAGCAAATAGTTGCTCCTAAGTGTTGATAGGGCTGTGAATTAGCCTTTTCAAGCACATTTAAATGCACCATCTTGAAATACAAGTTTGCCTTTTTTTGTCTATCAATTCCAAAAGCAGACTCAAAGATTAATGTGTAATCACTTAAGGGGGATCTATTTTTTTGTTATTTTCCTGTTTTGTAACCTTCTGATTACAGATGCATTCAGATAAATCCACATTTTTCTTTATTTAATGGAAGCCTTGCATCCCTTCTGCTTTGGCATGATGGTATATGGATTGTGTAAACGTAATGCAGTGCACGTATTTTGCAAGATATAATATATTTTGCAATTTGGATAGTTTTAGTGACTCTTCATCCGAGATGAATAACTCGGAATGAATAACTTTATCCACATAGATGTCTCTTTGGATAGACTTCATATTAAAAAAAAAAACCCACAATATTTTCTGTAAGTCATAACTTGACTCTAAAAAACTTCAGTGCATGAGACAAAACTTACCTGTTACCACTTGTCCTCTTCTAAAATGTACGATTTGAGGGGAACTTCCCTAGTCTATCTGGATCTGCATGTGCACGCACTGGTTTTTGATTGTTTGTGGGGGTTGGTTTGTTTTTTTGATGCTCTCTTGGACTAACTTCAGCAGCTTATCTAAACATTTGCAGAAGCAGCAGCCTCTGCCCTGATATTGAATGTCATAGTATCTTGCTCAGGATTCCTGTTCTTTTTTGTTTGTTTGTTTCATGTTCCTAGTACTTGGGTTGTCGCAGAGTGCTGCAGGGCCATTTTCTGATGATAAAATGTGGACTGTTAGCAGTCCTGAATGCGGACTAAATTTGACACAGATCTTAGAAGGGGCCTTCTGAAGCAAATAGGGAATACCCACCAGTATGCCTGAAAGCTTTCACACAAGATCTTGTATTTTTATGCTTGCATTTATTTGCACTCACATTAAGGGATCGTTTTATTGGCAGTATTTTTGTTTATCCCTATTTATACCAGCGAAGAACACTGATATAAATTAGGCCTGAAAATTGATATGTATCTAGTATTTGCCTAAGTACTGAAGACAAATTTATACCTTGGTACACGCTTTATCCGAGGGCATTTTGCCAAGTCTAATGTGAGGGCAAGTGTTGTGTTACGAGCTCGAGGTCTCACGTGCCCTGGCGCGAATCCCAGTAGGTGCTGGAGCCCCGTGCGCAGCCTTCGCTCGAGTAGAGCAGCACGGCCGTCCTGGCAGCAGGACGTGGGCACTGCGTGGCTCATGAACGAGAGTGCTTGGTCCAAAGGGTAGGATCTGAAAGAAAGATCTCATGGATAAGGGCACACGGATATCGTGAATGTTCTTATCCGCTGAGAGGACAGCAAGAGGAGGTGGTGAGATGAAGAGAACTTTTCCTTCCTGTTGCTGCCTTCTACTCTATCCCTTCTCTCCTCAACGCATTTTTATATTTTTTCTTTATTGATACCTTTTTCAGTAATTCTTTTAGTCTTTGGGAGCTTAATTTGTGCCCATTTACTTTGAGCCAGGATCTCTGCTTTGATATTGAAGGCTCTTAGACCTCTACATTTTGAGCCTACAGTGTGCTAGAGAAAACATGGGGCAAAAGCAGAGTTGTTCCAGTAGCAGAGTTCAAGCACTACTTACCCATGTGAAGATTGCTTCAGGAAAACTGATTAAACACTCTGGAGTGTTTAATGTGTTTTCTCTACTTTCAGCTGCAGTAACACTTGAATGTGTCAAGCCAGAGTTTTGCAATCAGCTTGTAAAATAGTAAAATCTGAAAGAATATGCTGAGGAGCAAAAGTATACCTGGGAGTGAGGTTTTTAGGCTTTTTGTCAGTGGCCCTTATGATCAACCATTGCTATTAATGACTGTTCTCATGTGGTCTGGGCTGCCTTTGTGTTTTAATGGACAAGCACGCTAAGTCTTCAGTGGTCGGGATGATAAAGCTTGCAGCAGCTTCTAAACTTCCCTCTTAAAGATTAGATCTAGTCTTATGTGATGGCTTGCTTCACTTAAACTCCAGGATGTTTAAAAGAAATGCCAGCAATACAGTGGAATAGAATTGCCTGTAGGCAGGAGCCCACTGTGCGTGGAGAGGTCCTGGGGACAGGGTTTGGCCAGGGGCGTAAATCCAGCTGTGGAGATGGGGCCTCCTCAGGTCTGATGCTGCCGTTTACACGTGGCGTGGAGTGGCTGTAAGCAGGTGGTGCCAGAGCAGAGGGCAAACACAGACTTCAGAGGTTCAGCCGGGCCGGTTGACCTCCGCAGCTCCGGGTACAGCTGCAGAGATGTGAAGTGTCCTTGTCTCCCTAGGGAAAGGGAAGGTACTTCAGCGGAAGTCCAAGCCACAGAAGAAACGAGAGGAAAAGGAAAGAAGAGGGAAGGGGAAGCAACAGGAGGATGAACTGAAGGATTCCCTGGCAGATGATGACAGTTCTTCAACCACAACCGAAACCTCCAACCCAGACACAGAACCACTTCTGAAAGAGGTTAGAGCTCTGCTCCTGAACGGAGATCCAGCACCACCACGGGCAGCGCGCACGTTACGGCGGCGTGGCGCTTTACTGGAATACAGAGGAGTGTTTCTTGTTTGGTTGGCTTGTTTGTTTTCCAGCTTTCACATATTCCAATCCCCAACAAAGAATGTTAATTAAAAGCCTTCCTTCACTGTATTTCCCCTCACTTCTCAGGCTGCTCCTCTCTGAGGAGCATGAGCATCATGCCTGAGTCATGTAGTCCCAGGATCCGTGTGACTGCGGCCGAGCAAGTTGCCAGTGTCAGTAGGGCTGTGGTAACTGCCTCCTTGCGTGCGCCGGGCCCGTTCTGTTTGCAGAGTGAAACACAAGGTGCAAATGCTGATTTTACCTGATGGTCAAGATATGCGCAAAAATCACGTATTCAGACACTTACTAGGGATTAGTTCACTGGTGGTAACTTGTCAGCAATTACTTGGCTTTACGCAACTGGGCAGCCCTACCTTCATTTTACGTTTTGAGCCCACATACTTCTAGGTAATAACCTAAATCTATTTTTAACCTCTTGCGTAATTTTCAAGTTGTCATAAACACTTTCTGCTAAGGCATGTACTATAAAACCAGGCAAAGTTAAGGTAACTGGAGAGAGGAGAGAAAAGAAAACCTAAACTTGGGCTTGTGTTTAATTTCAGTTTGGGAAATAAGAGAGGTTCTGTCTGGGGAGAAAAAAAAAAAAAAAAAAAAAAAAAAAAGAAATCCATCCAGTACATTTTGAGAGTCAGGTTTAGTTTGATCGCTTTGGCTTTCCAGTGTGCTCATATTAGCAAGTCATAGAAGTGTGAAAAAGTTATTTAAGTGCTGAAGTTGTTGAAAGTAGAGAACCTGTTTTAGGTGACCTGGATTGCCTGCAGCTGATGATTCAGCTGTAGAAGTTATAGTTACAGCTATGTATGCTGTATACAACCAGTATACAGCATTGGTCTCAGTACAGAGCTGGCATCCTTGCGGGCTGATGGGGAGGCCATGGCCTGAGAAGCTGTGGATCTGTGAACATCTGATCTGTCTGAAGTACGGGTGCATCTCGAAAACCAGCTATGCAATGTTTTATAGGTATCCTCACTGATGAGTAAAAAGATACTTTATATGCTGCAAAAATATTCCTGTTTTTTGAATAACTTTCCTCAGTCCGGTTTATATCTTGATGCAAGAGAGACACTCTTCATTCATTTTCTTAAAAACTGACATGTTGCTATAATGTGCTTTATAGGAGCCTGAAAAACAAAAGGGAAAAGCTATACCAGAAAAAAATGAAAATGAAACAGTCCAAGTAAAACAGAAAAGTAAAAAACTGCTAGCAAATATCAAGAAAGAAATCCCTGTAGATGTGAAAACCAGGTAAGCAAAATAAAGGGGGCATCACTCATGGGGAGAGGAAGAGCAGATAAAAATCTGTGCGTTCAGCTTTGAGACAGCCAAATCTGGCTGGTGGCAGCAGCAGCAGGCAGCCCTTAGGCAGCTTCCTCTTCCTTCTGGGCATCAGGGAATATCTAAAGCTTGTAAATACAAAATTATTTGGTGGGAGTGCAGTGTATTAATAAACCTATGTCTAGATCTGAAGGAGAAAATCAGCCTAAGCTGTGTTAAGCGGCTTTTTTTTTTTTTTTTTTTTGTAGCAAGGTTAATGTTTCCCCAGGAGCTTCTGGTGGCATCACAGTGAGGGGGTGTTAGCAGGGGGGTGCAGCTTCCTTTTTTTGGCTTGTAGCAGGAGGTCGGTGCCTTGGGCATGTTGCTGGACAAAGCTGCTGCCCTCTGTTACTGAGAGGTGGTTGATGGTCATTTACGGAGCAGGGAAAAACAGAAAAGCAGAGCCTTATGCAGTTGAAAACTTTGCTTTTAAAAGTCCGCATGTTGTTTTTTTTCCTCATTACCATTATCCCCTCCCCTTTGTCTTCCAAGGCGTAGGGTGGCTACATATCACATTCAAAGTATTCGGAGGCCTCAAGGAGAGCTGGATTGGGTTTCTTCTGCAAGAAACAGAAGAAATAATTCTCCCCTAGAAAGCTCACTGTTTGAGAGGGAAGCAAATAGGAAAAGAACAGTATGTAGACAAATGAATTTGGTGGGGGATTTGAATAGTTTGGCATGGCTTCTTAAGCAATGATCCTATACGTTCATGGCCATAGCATTTCAGGAGCATGGGGTCTAAGAGGAGAAGAGGGAGAGCCTGGAAAGGGCCGTTGCTCCCTCCTGCCTGGCTCTCTAGTCAAGTAGGTTTGTAATCCTGGAGTGCTCCCACAAAAGCTCCTCGTGGAAGGCGAGTGAGTCGCGTGGGCTGGGAAGGAGCCGGGGCAGGAAGGGTGCAAGGAGGGAGCTGCCTACAGGAGACGTGTGAGATGGCAGCGGAGCTGCGCTAGTGAACAGCTTGGAAGATGGGCTCGTGCTTGACGTAAAGCCACAGGAGAGACTGGTCTTGTGTAAGGCCACATGGCATGTACATGTAAAACGCTTCAGCAGCGCTTCAGAGAGCAAAGGAAAAAAATGTTAATAATTTGATGTCTGTTTTCATTTAGTTCTTTGGAATTGTCATATACTCCCCCAGTGGAAAGCAAGCCACGCAAAACTTTTCCAGCTAAGATATCTGCACAGCACCTTTTGACAAATGGGTCCAAATCAAGAAACCTCCCCAAAACAAGAGGTAGCGTGAGGCGTTTTTCTCATAAATATCTGGGCTGTTGTATGCTATTTGTTCGCAACCACTTGGTTTATTTTGCTTAATTCTAAGTCCTGTTTGAGAGCTGTTCACCTGACTCTCGTCCTTGGACTTGTTTTTGTTTTGTTCTGCTTTTATAGGTCCAAACAGTAAGTTAATGGAGAGCAGGCCTTCAGTGTTAGCAAAATTTCTCCCCAGTGGTTCTGGACAGGAGCTAGGAAACACCAGCAGCTCGGAAGGGGAAAAGGATTCTCCGCCACCCGAGTGGGACTCAGTGCCGCTTCACAAAGCCGGCAGCTGTAAGTAAGCGTTAAGAGTTAAGTCTCCTGCCATGAATGTCAGTAGGAAAGATCTGTGTAGAGATGATCTGCTCCTCTCCTCACTGCCTAGCTGGGCTCCCTTTTCCATTGTAGGCCCCCATATTGAGAGTGTCCGGTAGAATTTGAATGAGTTGAAAGCAGTATGAGCAGAACATGGATTTTTCCGTTGTTCTTCAGAAATGACCAGGATGCAGTAGCTGCTGAGGAAATTGAGGAGATGTAAATTACTACTTGGAAAAAAAAAAAGAAGTATTTTCTACAGCAAATAGGTGCTTTGCTTGGTTAAGTCTGCTGCAGCTAGAGCTGAAAGTAGTCAAATGATCTGTCCTTGAGAGGCAACGTGGAAAACACCTCAGTGTGTTGGTTAGTGCACTGTGTGAATCACCCTCCTGCTGGCCGTATGTAAACATGAAATGTCCCTCTCCACAGAACTTGTTCAAAACTGCTGAAAAAGCCATTCTTCCTTCCATGCACATCACTTTTGTGGTGCTTTCATTGAAATGCAGTCTGAACATAGGTAGTAAATCTTTGTAACAATAAGTGAATATAGTGGAGGACTCGCCTCTTCTTTTGATCACTGGGAATAGCCTCTAGTCATTCCTCAATTTGAACAGAAAGGGTGCAGGATATTAGTAGCCTTGGTTGTAAGTGACCGCTATAAGATGGCATTTTGTGCTTCCTTGTGTAGCTACAGACAACCTCTACAAACTTTCTCTACAAACCCTGAGCGCAGATGCTTTCCTGAAGCAGCGGCAGCCCTCACCGACACCTGCCTCCCCGTCTCCTCCTCCTCCTCCTCCTCCTCCTGCAGCCTTAGCCTTTGGGCCACGAGGAGGCACCTACAGCAGCATTGTGAACAGCAGCTGCAGCAAGTGAGTGCAGATCTGCACCTCCTCCTGCTCTCACAGGCACAGGATGTGTGTGTGTGCGTGGGGCTGCTCCCTTTCCGCACACACTTCCTCTTCCCTTGGAAACTGCTTCATTACTAGCACCACTCTGCACGTCTTGCTATGCTACTTATTTTCCTGGGATCTCTTACAGCTTGGGGCATTGGATAAATGTGTGCTCACAGGACAGGTGGAACGGTTGCTGCCGTTTTCATTTTACCTAGGGATGCTCGCTTAAATAACTACCTTTTTATCAAAGTGCTAACATCCGAAATCTTACTTATGTATATATTTTTTTCTCGTTTTATTTTAGTGAAACAAAAAGCAAGCAGCCTAATGGTACCAAACACAAACTGGCAAAGGCAGCGTCTCTACCAGGCTGGAATGGAAACCCCACTTTTGCTGCTGTAGCTGCTGGTTATGACAAGAGCCCAGGTAATGGAGCAGTTTGGATTTCTCAATACTGCTGAATATTCCCTGAATATTCTGGTTTTATACTCATTTTACATGTGTTTTTGCAGGTGGCAGCGGCTTAGCAAAGATTTCACCAACTAAGGCAGATGTTTCCAGCAATATCAGCGTTTCCCACACAGTTGTTGACAGTGATGGCTCTGACAGGTAACTTTTGTACCTCTTGCAAATACTTAAGCTCCTAGAAGAGACACTGTAACCCATTAATGGCACTTGTGAAGATTCTAAAAGGTTTTCTTGTGAGTTTTTGAAGTTCTGCACAGCATCACTCCCCTCACAAAAAAAAATGACAAGGTTGATTTTTTTTTTTTTTTCCCCCCCCTCATTGCCTGTAACTCAAAAGTTCCCATGTGCCCAAACAACATGAAATTAGCCCCCCTCTTTCTGTGTTTTGAGGGGTGTATACTGGGGTCGCTTGGACTGGTTTATAGGCAGAATATGTGGCTATAGAGACCCAGCAGTGTCTTTCACTCACAGGTTCAGCACTGAGATCAGAATGATTAGCTGCACTTTCTCTGCCGTGCAAGTAGAAGCGGAACATAACCGCCCTGGGCCACGTTCCCCAGCACACACTTTCTTTCTGACGTGTTTTTAGAGTGTTTCAGAGTGCGTCAGTTCAGCTGTAAAACTCAGTGGGCATTTGGTAGCTGTTCTGAAATAGGAACTAGACTTGTGCGCGTTTCAATGTGTAAAGGAATCGCTGCTCTGGGCGAGATTTGTGGGTGGATTTTTGGTTTGTTTATGTAAATGATTATCACTGATTCCAGTTAGCTTGTCTATATTTTCAAGAAACTTGCCCACGAACTACAGTACAAGTATTTGTATGGCCTTTGAGCAGTTCTGGTGTTAATTCTTTTATCTGCTAATCGAAAACACTTCGCAACATCTTGGGCCCTTTAAGTTTCCTCAAAAAACTGAGCAAAAGAGCTACTTCCAGTGCTGTGGAGCTCATCCTACAGATTAAGCAATTTTTTATCTAGAGCAATGCTCCAAAGTAGATACATATACCAAAAAGGAGAATTTCCATATATACTGAAGCATTTTGGTCAAACAAGGGTAGCATTTTCCAATGCTTGGTTGCAGTTCAGTCTTTTAACTATGTCCTCTTCTGCCAATTACTTTTTCAATTATGAGGTGTCTGCCTGAATTGCTTATGTATATGTAGCACAAAGTTGGTATCACTGGTGATAGTGTGTTAATGAGTTGTCTATTGCTCTTTCCCACTGCTCCATGACATTTAGTTCAGGTTTGTGGAGTCCTATCAGCAACCCTAGCAGTCCTGACTTCACGCCCCTCAATTCGTTTTCTGCATTTGGACATTCTTTTAACTTAACTGGAGGTGAGTTCTTGTTTTCAAATATTTTCAGTATTCAAACACAGGAAAAGGAACGGTGCATTTTCATTCCGTGTTTAACCATAGGCACTGGCCCCATCTCTCTTCCTCCCCAAAATATGACCATGTAGGAGAATGTATTTTAAAAAATTGCTGGCTTATTCACTACTTCAGGCCAGTGAGGATTAGTGGAAACCTATATTGCTTGTTCTGGAAATGAGTGTTGTGCAGTGTCTTGATTTCAAGGCCCTTCCTCAGGAAGCGTTAGGGTAGCTCTGAGCAGTGTGCCTCCAGGGCTGTGGCTTCCTCACCGCTTTGCAGCGCTCTCAGAAAGAGGCAGTGGCCTGTCCTGCATGGCTGCATGGTGTTTCCCTCTTGTGTTGGGCTGCAGTGATAGGAATAAAGTGCTGCAAAGTAAATGAGCAGGTTTTGCTTATGAGGGGCTGTTTCAGCACAGCTGCTCATTCTGCTCTAGTCAACCCATTTTATGAAATAGGCAGGTTTTTCAGTACTGCTCTGCAGCATGGTGTGACCTTTTAGAAAAGGTATTTACACTACACTGAAGAATATTATGCTGCTACTTTTACAGAAAGAGGAAGTATAAAATACTCATATTTATTTTCTTTTGTTTTCAGAGGTTTTTAGTAAACTTGGTTTAGCTCGACCTGCTTATGGGCAGGATGTTCAGAGAAACTGGAGTGAATTTAATAATGTTCCATCATCCATCTGGGACCCTTCAGCTGCAGATTCTGTGCCCTCCTGGCCAACCAGCTCGAGCTCCCCCACTCACACAACTGCAGTAAGTATTGAGTTCTGTCACTGTTGTCAACCTGTTCCATATCTGCCATCTACCCTCATTTAGAGGGGTTTTAAAATTGTGTGGAAAATGTCAACAGAACAATTGAGATAAAAGGGAGGTTATTCATATTCATCATTCTCTGTAGTTAATTTGAAATGGCCATTGGGAAAGTGGTTAGTCCAATTAGCCCACTCATTTGCGGATGATGGATCCATGTAAGTTTAATATTCATCATGAGAGCATCTTAGAGCATGTACAAGAGTGTGTTCAGTTTTCCCATGCTTAAGGGTGGTGGAAGAGCCCTTCTGCTCTGTGCCATGGTTGAACATAGCTGCCTCTGTCACATCCAGCCTGATGGGCAGCTGCAAAGCAGCCAATATGAGTATATATCAGTCCAGTGTTGTCACCCCTGCAAATTAAGTTAATGACCAAAACCTTTGTCTTAAAGAAAATAGTGAGACACATTTTTTTCCAACTTAGAAAAAACAGTAAAGGACTTGGTATAAAGTAAAGTTTCCAAAGCAGCTACTGATTTGATTGAGATCTTGAGTATAGCCCAAGTGAAGAAAAAACATCTTTTTTGCAGATTATAGCACTGCTTGTTCATCCTTGTGCTTCTCTGTCAGAATAAAACTTACAAGTCCATCAGCTGTCCTTGGTGCCAGCTGAAGCCATTCCTCATCTTGTCTCCCGAAAATGTTTTTGCAGTGAGCAAGAGGCAGTGTTTACTTCACCTGGTGGCAGTGCAGAATGGGGAAGGGGGAAGCCTGGATAGGCCACAGCCTCTTACGGACATGCACTCGCTGATCCCCTGTCACGGGATTGTAACGTCACAGAAATGACGTAAGGAGAGATATTTGCCTTTGGTCACATGGAAGGCAGGTTTCTCCTTGTGGAGCAGGAGGGACAGATTGAGGACAACTAGAGCAATCTCTCTAACTTTAACCTATTTTCTGGCCACTTCTGAAGAGCACCCAGAAGTGCTTCAAGGAGAAAAACCAGGCAGAGACAGCACAGGGGAATTGACAGTCTATCCTGTCGAATACCTAAATTTTGAAAAACAGCATTTTAGGACCCTCTGCTAAAAAAGGTCACTTAATAAACAAGAAGTATTAAAAAAATTACTAACATGATCAAAGCTTTTCCTTAAGGCGGTGATTGATTTTTTCAAGTGCTTATGGTGATGGAGGTCAGGAAAACTTGGCTGTTTCTGCCATTGAACCTCAATAGTAGAGAAGGGAGCAGGTACCAGGCAGGGCCCTCTCCCTCACACCAGACCAAGGCCGTTCCTGCAAACAGCAGTTATGTAGTGGCTTCTGTATTACAGTCCCTTATGGGAAAGTTCCTGAGAGTTGTTTTCAGTCCTCATCCTTACTCCTCTGATTTCCCGTCTTTTGTGTAAATCTCTCTGCTTCTGCACCAAATATTTAAATTCTGGATTCTAACTCCCCTTAAGCCCTTTCTTCATTGGCACTGCCTCTGCCCAAGTTTCTTTCTTGCCATAGTCCCTTACTCCTCTTTCTTCCATGCCGCTGCATGTGATGCTGCCTGCAGGACTGTTTGTACCTCCCTCTGCCAGCCTGAAAAGGAGCTGTCTGACCTAAGCTCCTTTTCTCTGCCTCCTTCCTGGCTGCTGCTTCTCCTGTACGAGCAGTTGCCTTTGCAGCAGGCCCTCCCAACTGCTTTGGGGCATGCAGGAAGGGTTCCTGGCACTTCTGCCAGCAGTAGGACTAAACTGAATCTAGGGTTGGTGTCTGAGCATCAGGATGAGGGTTGTCTCTAGGCTCAGTGATTTAATGCTTGCCTAGCTTAAGTGTGACCATTTAGTTAGAGCCCAGTTATAAACTGTAACCCAAGCTTAAGATCATAGGGGTCTCCAGTGTCACTAGTGATGTGGTCTTGATAAGTCTTCAGCATGTTCAAAACTTCTGACTAACCCTCTGCAGCAAATCCTACAAGGACCTTTTTGTTAGTGTGCAACTAATTTCAGATATGCCAGGGT